GATCTCAGACCTATCTCACTGACCCCGAGCATATCCAAAGTAGCTGAAGAATGTGTGGTAAATAGATATATCAAACCTGCGGTTCTGAAATCCATCGACTCAAATCAATTTGGTTCTATTCCTAACTCTTCAACCACTTTTGCTTTAATAGACATGTTACATCACTGGACCTCAATGCTGGACGGAACAGGAGCAACTATCCGAGTGTTTCTATTTGACTATAAAAAGGCATTCGATTTCATCGATCATAGTATCCTAAGGATCAAGTTAGGTGCTTTAGATTTACCAACTAGTATCATCAACTGGATTATCGACTTTTTATCGGATAGATATCAAAGGGTTAAGCTGTCAAATAGTTGCCTTTCTGAATGGAGCCAAGTACCGGCTGGTGTTCCTCAAGGAACCAAATTAGGCCCTTGGCTCTTCTTAATAATGATTTATGATTTGAAGAAACATAGTGAGAACTTATGGAAATACGTTGACGATACCACGGCGTCGGAAGTCGTATTGCAAGGCGAGCACAGTGAAGCTCAACTGATTGCAAATGAAATTTTAGATTGGTCCAATATCAATAGAATGCAATTAAATGCTGATAAATGTAAGGAGATACGAATTTCTTTTGCACGGAATCAACCCGAGCTTAACCCAATTTCAATTGAGAATCAAATCATAGAAGTTGTATCCGATTTTAAAGTGCTAGGTCTTAACATTAGCAACAACCTTACGTGGAATAAACATATCACCGAATTAGTCAAGAAAGCCTCCAAAAGGATATATTTCCTTATTCAACTTAAGAGAGCAAAAATCCCAATACAAGAACTAATCACATTTTACATAACCTGTATAAGATCTGTGTTGGACTATGCTGTCCCGGTTTTCCACTACAGCCTACCCAAGTAGTTAAGTCAAGATTTGGAACGAGTCCAGAAACGCGTATTTGGAATTATTTATCCCCATTTGAAATATGAGGAAGCTTTAAATCTCAGTGGAATTGAACATCTTTCCACTCATCATCAAAACGGCTGCAAGAAATTGTTTAATGCAATTATCAAAGATTCTAATCACAGTCTACATTACCTCTTGCCGCCAAGGCATAACTCCATCCACGAACTGAGATCTATTAGATCTTTTGACGTTCCAGTTTGTAAAACCAATCGGTTTAGTAATAGTTTTATTATGGCATCGAGTAGCAAAACTGAATAGGTTTTACTCTTCATTTACCTATTTTATATTCTTAATAACTTTTGCATGCTTATTATAAACAGACACTTTTGACAATTTAGTTAATTAATTATAATACTTTGATATACTTCAAAACTCTAATTTTTAATAATTTTTAATTGTAAGTATAATACGCAATTCAGCTCATGGCTGCAATGTGTTTACCATTTCTAAATAAAGTATAAAGTATAATTAAAATATTATAATTAATTATAATTATATATTAATATATATATAATATAATTAATAATAATAGCTATATAGACCCAGCTGCGGCAGACAATATCTTTCACTTCTTGCGCCGGGTATGGAAATTATGAAGTACACACTCGAGAACATTTTCTACTTATATATATATATATATATAATTACATTATAATTATGATATTAATTATTGTAAATATATCTAAATATTCTTATTATTACTAAAATTGAATTAAGTTTTCGTTATAATAATAATTATTATTAATCCAACATCCTGTGGGTCGCCAAGAATCCTGACTATCCCGTGTGCAGTTACACAGTACAGACCTTCATTATGGGCTTAAAACTGTAGGGAGCCTCTTTAAGAATGTGTTTTTGACTCGTGTTCACAGATTTTTGACTCGTGTTCGTCATTTTTGACTCGTGTTCACAGATTTTTGACTTGTGTTCACTCGTGTTCATCATTTTTGACTCGTGTTCTGACTCGTGTGGTCTTTTAGAATAGATCTATAATTTCAATGTATCTTTAATATTGAATTTTTTAAATAAAAAATAAGCAAAGTTATTTGCAAGCGAGAATTTGAAATAATTTTATTGCAAACTCAAAGTTTATTGATAAAGCCATTTAATAGCTAAAGGCAGTTTAGTTTTATATAGAACACTTTGGAACGTTTTGTGAATTGTTTGTGGTTGAATTTTACCTTAAATTGAAGCTTGTATTACGTATAATTACATACCTAACATATATATGTTGGGAAATTGATAATTTTGTAATTAAAAGTGATATTTTTAGGCGATTTTCATTTGTAAGAATGTTCTTAAAAAATTATCTTGTTACCATGACAACCACTTTAGATACTTCATGTTCGGAAAATACAATGGTTTTGTCAGCAAGGCGAGGGTTTCTGCATGCATGTATTTTCTAGTACTATAGTAGCAATTAACACACAGTAACACCTTTCCACGCGCTCTTTCAACCATTAGAAACATAATAGTGTTAAACGACTAAATTATGCTGGAGGAACCACAAAACCTTTCAAACTGACACAGAGGTGAATGGACAAGATTACAATTAATTGCGACATTTTTCTTCGACAACAGCACTCTTTGCGGCTCCTGCCGGCTCTATACTGACCCTGTTTGACACCTTATTCAGTCGCTAACATACCTTTTGTATCCCACTATGAAGAACATCAACATTTCCACCAAAACCCCGAAAAAATCATCATTTTATAGACGAAACAATAAAATATTTCAAACAATTTGTTTTGCTTTTGCCAACACATGTGCAGTTTGGTCGACATACAGTTTTCTGTATGTCTGACATGGATTATCCCAGAGCCTTCGTTTCCTTCCCAAGGATCGGGGAACGAGATTGGCATTTTAGTCATTCACTGCCAGTTATTGTCTTACTGCTGGAATAGCGAGCGTTTATGAATGGCACGCTCAAAACCGCATTGCATTAAGTATTTAAGTAATATATATTATATGACGATGACAAGCTTTGGGTGACAAGCCTATTTAAGAAGTACTTCCCTTGCACATGATATAACTATTTGTCAAAAGCAGAATTACATGCATGCACTAACGTTTATCAAATTATTATAACGCTTCATTGAATTGGTCTTTGTTGATCCAAAGTTGTAGTAAAACAATACGCAAAAGTCCAATCGCTAATAGGTATATTTATGATACAAACTAATTACATATTAACACTCCCAAGTCCCAAAATTATATTTCTTTAAATAGTTACCATATAGAGTTTTTGGCCACTGAGAAAAATCGTATTTGAACACACATAAAAAATACGATATTATATGTGAAAATATCATTTTTGCAAGCCAATCAAATGCGCGTAGGAAAGATGTTTGACCAATCAGAGAACTTGTTGTAAAACGCATTGCCACAGATATTTTATTGTTTTTCAATTTTGCCTTTTTGGCTTACAAAAAGTTTTTTGTCAAAACATTTTATACCGACATGGCCAGAAGATTTGTGAATATGACAGACGACGACGTCGATATATTTATTGCAGGAGAAGAAAATGAAAATACATAATGAAAATATATTAAATGAGACAGTATAGTTGTTACATTTCAATATTTTTACATTTCACATATTTTTTATACTTTACTATATCAGCCAATCTGATGATTGGTGCCAAGTGTTTGGAATTGATTGCCTGCTGACTTGTGAAACAGCATACATTGTGACATTTTCAGGATCACAAAACTCATCATCAGTCCCTACAAATGCTACTACCTCATCCTCTTCCTTGCTGTCAGTGATACGTGATTCCAGCGTTTCCATTTGGAAGGAAATTTCCTTCCAGACGGAAATTTGGGCCTTGGAAAGAAATTTGGAAGGAAATAGCATTTGGAAGGAAATTGGGGGGAATATTGTTATAAGGAGGGAAATGAGAAGGAAATTCTATTTTATCTCATAATTTCTAAGAATAAGGCAATTTTCACACAATGGAGTCCTGGACCATCTGGGACAGGATCTACCCAACCTCGTACCCAGGGTATTATTTCTCAGACTCCACTTAGCGTTGGCAGGAAAGACCCTAGGTCTTCCTTGTGTGTGTGTCCAGGGGAGATCTCTTTTCGCTCCCATGGCAAGGTAGCCCCCAATTATTATGCTTTTTCTCCGGCCGAGGCGAAGATGAGCTGATTTTAACCTGCAAAATACAGAGTTATCTGGTATAAATTAATATAATGTGTTTCAATACTAGAGTTTTGAATTTGATGGTAAATCTGTCAATTTTGATAAAAATGTTGGAAGGAAATTTTGCCGGAAAAAAGGAAATTTCAGGTTATGAAGGAAATTAATTTTTTGGGAGTGAAAACACTGCTGATTCAACGGTATCTGTATTGTCTTCCTCTGCCATATGAACATGAGCCATAATCCGTGTTATTTTATCTTTCTTCAGCCCGAAAACGGACAATTGGTTTTCTTGAGGTATTTTTCCAGTTTGTTCACTTTTAAGTTTGTTCAGCAATTCTTTTGATGATGCTAGTTCTTTCCAATTATACTGATGATAAGTATTGTCTTGCTGCATCTTTTTATCCCTGCTTAGCTGTTTTTTTTGCGAATTTCCTCAACTTGTGACAAACATAGAATGTGGTTGAGATATTCCTTGACATACTCCTTCTTCAACACCAAACTGCCTACTAAATGACTGTATACTTTCTGGGTCAGCATGAAGATTCCCAATGCAAATTGTTTCTTTATCTGAGCTTGTGGTAGGAAGTAATCAACGTCACAAGGCGTTTTATCTTCCTGAAGTAGACTTGTGTCAAACACATCTTAAAAGTGAAATTTGGGGAGTTTTTCTTTGTCTGGAATAGGAGCAGGGATGCTGGAAATTTTTTGCAAAATTCGCACTGAGATCCAGTTGTATTTTTGCACCTGTCTTTCGCGTATTCCATAAATAATTCCCCTTTGACGTAATGTTCAGCAAAAAATACAGATATCTTTTTAAAATATGTGGTTCCAGGAGTACTGTTACTTTTATCTGACTTGTTGAGTGCATAAATATGATCTTTATTGAAAAAGAATTGCCTATCTTCAAGAGGAGTTTTGAAAGCAGTAATGAAAACTGAAAGTGATGCACAAAAGCTCCGCACCAGATTACTTCAAAGGAGAGAAAAACTTTTGGATGTTAATTATGAATCTGAAGTAAAGAAAGGTTGTGATGAAGAACACTGCAATTTGTCAAAATCAATTGCTGACTTGCAAGCGCTGTTAAAAAAATTGATACAAGTTGTAAATGATCTGCGAAACTCATACCTGCACTTATCGAGGTCCAAAATAGATTCAGAAACAACAGTTCACGAAAATGCCAGGCGAAAAAGAAGGAAGAAAGAAAATAATAGGAAATTAATACAAAAAAGCAGTCTGAGGACAGACAGAAACTTATTGGAGTGGAAAGTGCGACTAAACTGCTATCTGATGTTTTCAAAGGCAACCAAATTCCAACAAGAATTTGTTATGAAAGTGAATTAAAAATTGAAGTTTTAAACCCAAGTTTCATTTAAATTAAAGGCCTTAAAGTACCTTGTTAGCCGGAATCCTTTTGGGGGGGGGGGGGAGCCCTTGAGCATGTAGTGTGTACTATCCAAAGGCTCAGTAGTCTACTGCGAAAGTCAGAAGATGAGTGTAGTGCCGAGAGTGATGTAGAAAGAATTGATACCTGTAGGTATAGTTTCTGATGATGATGATGACAGTGATGGTGAGGTACGAGGAACTGCATAATCATCATAATTTTAAACTGTTCATTTGAATACCAATGTACTTTATAATTTTATATAAACAGACCTTGTAATATTAAATATACTTATCATTGGAAACTGGGAAATATGGAGATTGGACTTCTGAAGAAACAAATATATGAATATGCCCCACTATCTTTAATACATGAGAAAGCAGTCTAATTATTAATACAACATCATTTGTACTTGCTACTGTACAATGTTAACAAGTTGAAAATGACCTAAACTCCATCCAATGGGGCTCATATGAAAGTCTACAACCCATTCACCTCTCGACCCATGTCCCATACCTCCAGGTGGGAGGAGTTTGTACACCAAGTAATTCTATGCTTATTAAAAGTGATTGATATTGACTAGTGTCTATTAAAAATATAAAGCATACCATATTCAGCATTGTTTTGTACTAAATACCTGTAATACCAGACACATTTCATTGTGTTTATTACCCATAATATTTTGTAGCATATGGTTTAAAATAAATCAACATAAAAATACAACCCCCCTTTCATATTTTTATAAATTTCTAGATCCCCTTGTTTCTCTTCAAAATTTTGACATCCCCCAAAATCACCTGTTCCCCCTGTGATATACATAATGAATGCAGCCTTAAATTAATATAGACTATGTTGCACAAGTGCTTCATCAGACGTTTCAAGTGAGGATGCAAGATACTTCTTGTCCTTTTCACTTTGTTGCAGTTTCTAGGGTGAGGGCAGAATTTCTTTCAGGTATAAAGCACAAAGTCAAGATATTGCATCACCAAAGTTATATTTACTTACACATGCAGTGTCGACAAGCTCGGTCTTTAAATGAGGGACCTCGGCATCTTTGTTCTTTACATCCTATGTAGAAAATAAAGGAGCAACATCATGATCACAAATTGCACATCTTTTTTGGGCATATAGATGTACCAATATGAACACAAAAGTGCATGGTATGGGTTATAATTTTTTCGTAAGTAGGTCACTATATGGTGATTATTTTAATGTAGTCACACAAAATAAACAAAAGTACCATACCTTACATAATTAATGCACCTTCTGTTTCAAGTTTTCCACCCGTTTTCTAAAAGCTCACTCACACTCAATGAGTGGAAGTTCAATCTGAGCTTCTCGCAAGTGTCATTGCTGTTTTTGAATAGCTGGAGGGTTAGTGTTCTACCTTACCATGTGACTACTCGCCCTCAAGGTGTTCAAAAACTCTCAAGAGAAGCTCAGATTGAACCTCCACTCATTGAGTGAGCTTTTAGAATACAGGCATTAGTTTGCATTTCTTGTAATGGCCACTTCCTAATTTAATTTCCAATGGAAATGTACATTGATTATTCATAAAATAGATGGTTTTAAGGTGGCTCCATATAATGATGGAAAAGCCTGTTCAACGTATTGCTAAAAAAATATGATTGACCCATGATGTGGCAATCATGCATTTATACCACAGAAATATTACTAGTAACTGAAAAATATTCACAAGGTTGGCTTGCAACTTGTTTCTTTTCCAACTGCATGATCAAAGCGATCGGTCAGTTAATTGGGTTTTAAATATGCATGTCAAAATGTTTAAAACCTGATATTTTTTAAAACTGTTTCAAGCCACCTTAATTTCGTGATAATTAAATACAAAAATAAAAACACTTTCAGTATAATTATTATGAGTTCATTATCACTCACATTATCACTCATGTTTGAAGAACAAAATCCATCACCACAGTTAGAAAGAGCATGTTGAAATTAGTAAAACTGCAAAGTGTGGCTGTGAAATGTTGTAAAATGCGGGAAATATAGCCCTGCGAAATTTGCACATTTTGTATTAATTTGTAATGCACATGGGACAATGCACCACATTTGCGAGTGGTTTGCATTTAGAAGAAAAATCAGCAGTGCTTGCATCTAATTAAAATTAACTGTTTAGCATTGTGATTGGATGAAAGTGCTCATGCATCACTCGCAGCGAGCTGCGAGGAGCTTCTTGCGAGAACTGGAAATCCGCCTTTAAAATGTGACAGCGAGGGTGAGATTTCAGATGTTGGTGATTTATATATGAATATTTCTGTCGATCTTGCCAATCGTGATCTGAGGTTGACATTACAGAAGTAGACCAAGAGTTTATTCATATGCTTTGGTTGAAATCGAAGGTCAGAAAGAATTTCCTTGCACGAAGTGTGATAAAATATGTAAATCAAAAGGTGGACTGACGAGACATAGCAACTCGAAACATAGACGCGAAAGTGTTGACTCTGGTTCATGTGTAAACACAGGTCTTTGTCAAGCTACAATGGCTTTGATTGTAGAAACAATAAAAACAATATAATACAAGAAAATATATATGGCGATGAAATAAACACTACAATCCTGGCACAAATTATTGTGGACACTGCGCGCGTCAAACAAAAATAGATGTATTTCTTCAGAATTAATCCCCAGAAAATTTCTCCCTCCTACCCCCAATTCAATGTTGGTACATGAAACTTTTAAAATTTAAGTGCGAGAAACAACATTAAATAGGGGGCAGCGGGTGACAAATTTCATGAAAGAACGTCTCAATGTTAATATTGGCATTAGAAAAGTTAGGTGTCCACATAATTTTTGCCAGGATTGTAGCTCAAAAACAGTATCAACGAGTGAAGCTTTGTTCAAAACTATATTGCCATTATATAAGACATTTATTGCAAAGAAAAATCAAGACAAGCTGCTCGAGGATTTCTATGGCTTAATACCAAGATCACGCGAATTGTTGAACTGTGTGGGGACTTCAAAGTTCAAAGTAGCAAACCTGCTTATGATTCACATTCCAGATAATTTAGTTGGCTTTTATAACATAAGCCAAATGAGAGATAATGGAGAATCTAACACTGCTGCTGCTGAACAAGCTGTCAAAATCAATCCAGCTGAATGTGGGCCTGTTTCCTATGTTGATGGTAGATGTGTAGGTAGGTAGATAAAAACTACATTTAATCATGCTAGCCTCGTCAACATAATGCTGATTTCCACGAGGGGCGTCACACAAATAATACGAAGAAAATAATTAAGTTAAAAATACCATATACAAGAGTTAATTTAGCATGTGTAGCACAGAATCTTCCTCTAGCTTGCACCTATCTCTCTTTTAAAGCAATCGAGAGTATCCGCCGATTTAGCTGCCAGGCCTTAAAATATCTTTCACATGGCCCATCTGACAAAATGTCCAGTGACGTTGAGTTTGGGTCGACATATGTCCGATGACCTTCAGTTCAGTTTTGGCTCGGAAATGAGTCTGAATGACACAAATAATTTGTTTCTTTCATACTTATTTCCAAACCAAAATTAACTTGCTTGCCAGAACAGCAGTGTTAAAAAAAGACTTTGACAACTTAAGCCTGTTTTCCACTTCACCATTTCGCTCGCCGCCGCACGCTCAACTACGTTAAAACAACATTTCCAGTTCACCTTTTATACAATACTACTCTGATTTTCCATGTAACATACAAGCCTCTAGTCCTGGGCTAGGGTACATTTTGATTTACGTCGGACAAAGCTACAGTTCGGTCGAACACCAATTCACTTGGGTCGGACAAACAATAAACCTCAGTTTCACTTTGGTCGGGCAGATTATCCGGTGGTTTCCTCTCTACGTCGGACAATTTCACGAATGGGTTGGACAATGTCCGTGACCGACCGATATTTTAAGACCTGGCTGCAGACAAAAGATCATTCCATAACATGGTGATGCTGTACTTGGGACTTCTCTCAGATATTCTGTTGTAGGTTTTGAGATTGTAGATATTTTGTGTCACATTCCTTTTGTAAAAAGATTCTTTTAGACCCAGGGCAGTGTGGTCATTTAACACTTTGTACATAAACACAGCCTTGGATTTTTTTCTTCTGTTATCAAGTGTTTCCCAAGAGAGGGTATTAAGAATGTCAAGTGACCTTACATCGTAAGTGGCACCAGTTATTGCCCTTGCTGCGAAAGACTGAAATCTTTGTAGTTTATCTTGGAGCAATTTACCACAGTTTCCCCATAAGGTGGAACGATAGTTAAAGTATAGCTGCACTAGTGCTTTATATATGGTTTGTAATGTATTAATATTAACATACAGTTTAGCGCATTTAATAGCCATGATACCGGCACTTGACTTTTTACATATTTTATCAATATGAGCATCACTTACACTTCAATACGCTAAAGTGTAATGTCTTGTCTATTCCCAGAAAAAAGTTCCCGATCAAAACAGCATATCAAGTAAATGACTTTGTAATTAGACAGGTTAACACCGAGTTTAATTCAATTCAATTGAATTTATTAAAAATCTTGAATGGCAGTCTACACATAGGCAAAGATTTGGCTATGTTACAACAATGATGAAAGTTACACTTTAGCTATTAAACCTACTTTCTTACCCAGTAAGGTAGACAACTATCACTAATTTTTTTTCTTCTGTGTTGATCTTAAATGGATAAAACATGTTACCCATATGTTATGTTACCCATGGGTTACATAACATATGGGTATTACCCATATGTTATGTTACCCATGTTACCCATGGGCTAGTATTCCAAAGGTCGTAGGTTCGAATCCCACCGTGGCCGGGCATATTTTTCAAGCTCGCCCGGTGTGGATATGCACTCAGAGTAACATCGCAAACATAACTATCACTAAATCGTTTAGTATGTGATTTAAAAAGCGGAATGTTTCGAGCATGTCTAAGGTTGTGCTCATGGTTAATTGGTTTGGGCAACAACTCAAATAGTTTGC